TTGATTGTTCAATTTATTTAATTCATTCAATTGCAAAAACCATAAACTGTTTACTTTGCACCACGATACTTTACAAACTGATAGTTAAACTAGGGAAATCTTTGAAAATATAATTTGTTACTGTAAACAGAATAATAAAAAATTCATTAAGTTCTATTGATACATAAATGACGTTATAGAAAAGCTACAAGTGACTGACCTTTAATATAAATATGTGGATCAAATAAGGAAAACTTGGCTAAATCTTTCAATCAGATTATCTAACCAGAATATCTAACAATTATCGAAAAGGAATTTGCCAAATGGCTAAGCAATTACATTGGTCAGGCATATAGCAAATGTTAAAACAAACTTTCCAACATGCCCTTGTTCTTTATTACTTGAACTAGTTCAAAAGTCGAAATAATTATGAGCATCCGACGAATATTCAAATATGGAGTTATAATTACGGTTAGGAACCCTAATAACCTGAAACAATAACATATACAAAATCAAACACACCAATCATATTTGTTTCATTGATTTACGAGTTAAAGCCAGAATATAATTACCATCGACTAGTGAGTTTGCTATGCTACTTTATTAATAAATGGCCGTATGTTTACTGACGTATTAAAAGCATAGAAATTGGGTGCGATAACATAATATTTAGTAATTTGCTAGGCAAAAATTTATTCCAGCTGGCAAATTTTAAAACTCAAAATTCGCTTTTTGAATTAACAAATTATAATGGTCGGTGGTGTGGTCAAGGAATAAAATTTTAATATTGCTTCGACTATTATATATTGCATATAATGATGTTTTCTTTAAAGCTCATTCTATCATTTTAAAAGCAGGGTCTTTGTACTTGAAAAACCTTGATGACGGTAGTATATTTGAAGTTAAATGATTTATTTATAAAATTATCAAAAGGAAAATATATTGTGCGGGCCATGATTTAGATGTTGTAAAAGGATCTAATACTGATGGATTAAATAAAACTCAATTTATCAAGGTGGAAAAAGTTTCGTAAATCTAGTTTGAAGGTTAATTTTTTAAGAAACTAATGGTCAATTATCTAATGTTTGAGTTTTCCTCGAATATAAAGCAATACGAGCACCAACAAACATGCTAAAAAAAGACTTGCAAATAGTAAAATATTATTTTGAATTAATCATTTAATTCAATAATTAAATTTTTTTTTACATTGCCATTAATTTCTGCACAAATAAACATTCTCTTTAGAAGGGAGTGGGACGGAAAAGAAAGCCGAATACTTCATTCAAAAGAATTAAGAATAAACATTATTATTATATATAACATTTGTACAATTGTGGCGTTGAGATTTGTATTTTGTGACGTTATGTTCATATCAACCAATCAAATTCATATTTATGTATGTTTGATGATCTTTTACATCAACATTATTTTTTTAAAAAAAATATAAAAAATGTCGGTTGTAGGTTTGTAAAAAAAAAAAGAAATAAACATGTTGACTGACATAGATCAAATTTTAATAAAATTATTTAATTTTTTGTGACAATCAGGCTTGGACTTTGGGAATCTTAATTCCGTAATCGCAGTTGCTCGTAATCGTGGGATTGATGTTATCTGTAATGAAGTTTCAAATCGTGCCACTCCGCAAGTATCATATATATATTTACAACCATTTGAGATTAGATTAATATCACCTTAACCATATATTTACTAACATTCATTCATGAATTTTAATTAAATGTCAAAAGTTCATTGGTATCATTCGGTGCTAAACAAAGATACTTGGGAGAAGCAGCAAAAACTCAAGAAATTTCAAATTTTAAAAATACAGTAGCTTCTCTAAAAAGACTTGCTGGTCGTACTTATCTAGATAAAGAAATTCAAGATATTGAAAAACATTTCATCAATGCTGATTTGGTAGATGCACATGGTCAAGTTGGCGTTAAGGTTTGTTGTATTAAAAAATAAAAATAAATATACATTTATAGGTTTTTTTTTGTGTGAAATTACAATAATCTATATGATTTATATGATTTAGGTTCGATATCTTGGAGAAGAAAAAATTTTTTCTGCAACACAGTTGATTTCCATGTATTTTACAAAACTCAAGGATATCACTGCAGCAGAGTTAAAAATTCCTATTTCTGATATTGTGATTTCTGTACCTGGTTGGTTTACTGATCTACAACGTCGTAGCATTCTTGATGCTGCAGAGGTTTCAGGATTGAATTGTCTACGATTGATAAATGATACTACAGCATCAGCATTAGGCTATGGTATTACAAAAACAGATTTACCAGAAGATAAACCTCGTAATGTAGTGATAGTAGATATTGGTCATTCCAGCTACAATGTGGCAATTGTTGCCTTCGCCAAAGGTCAGTTGACTGTAAGGTCGACTGCATATGACAGGAATTTTGGTGGTCGTAACTTTGATCAGTTGCTGGTGGATCATTTTGCAGAAGTCTTTCGTGAAAAATACAAGATTGATATCAAATCCAATCAGCGAGGTCTTTTTAGACTTAGAACAGCAGCAGAGAAATTAAAAAAAGTCTTGTCGGCAAATCTTCAATCACCAATTAATGTTGAATCAATTATGAATGATGTGGATGTTCATGCCATTTATTCACGTCAAGAATTTGAAGAGTTGTCTAAAAGTTTGCTTGATAATATTGATGCACCACTTCAACAGGCATTGGAAGGATCCGGACTTACATTAGATGAAATTCATTCTGTGGAAGTTGTTGGTGGATCGACGCGTATTCCGGCAATCAAAGAACGTATTTCTAAATTTTTTGGTAAAGAACTTAATTACACTTTGAATCAGGATGAGGCTGTGGCACGTGGTTGTGCCTTTCAATGTGCCATACTCTCACCGGTATTTAAAGTTCGTGAATTCTCCATACAGGATATTACACAGTATCCTATAAAAATCAGTTGGGAAAAGATTCCGGAAATACCCGACGAAGAATCAGAACTAGTTGTATTTCCAAAATTCAATCTGGTGCCTTCTACAAAAATCCTGACTTTCTTTAGAAAAGAACCATTCACCATTGAGGCACATTATGCAGAGCCAGATAAGATTCCAGCTGGAATAAATTCTTGGATTGGTAGAGTTACTGTCAAAAATATAGAGCCAGCGGGAAATGGTGATTTGAGTATGATTAAGGTTAAGACTAGATTGAATATTCATGGAGTGCTTAGCGTTGAAAATGCATATTTGGCTGAAGAAGTGATTAAAGAAGAAAAAGATGAGTCAGAAGTTCAACAACAACAACAACAACAACAACAACAACCCCCACCTCCATCACAGCCACAAGATCAGATACAAGATCAGACACAACCAATGGATGTAGATGTTAAACCAATAGAAACAACCGCCCCTTTACCTACACCTAAAACAACATCATCGACTAAAAAAACTAAAAAAGTACTAAAGAAGAATGATTTGCCTATTGTCGTAGGACATGGCGGATTAGATAAATCAATCATTGTACAATTAGGAGAACAAGAAGGACAGATGGCAGCAACTGATAAACTTGTAGCAGATACGGAAGCACAAAAGAATGCACTTGAGGAGTATGTGTACGAAATACGTTCGAAATTAGAATCAATCTATTCAGAATTTGTTAAACCACAAGATAAAGAAAAATTACTAGGATTACTTAATGAGACAGCAGATTGGCTTTACGATGAAGGAGAGGATGCAACTAAATCAGTGTATGTTGAGAAACTTGAAGAATTAAGAAAATATGGAAATCCGATTGTTGTTAGGTACCGGGAAGCAGAAGAGTTGCCTAATGCAGCGAAATCATTACGTGATAGTATAGAATCATTTATATTAAAGGCCAATAGTAATGATGAAAAATTCTCGCATATTCCTGATGAGGAGAAAAAGAGTATTGTCGAGAAGGCACAGAAAGCATCAAATTGGTTGAATGAAAAGCTTGAGGCACAATCCAAGCTTCTAAAATATGAACAACCTATTGTTTATTCTTCTGATATCCTAAAAGAACGAGAGGTACGTGTTTTTTTTTTTTTTTTTTTAAGGCAAAAGTTATTTATTAAAACTTTGTAATGATTTATGATTAATGACGATCATTTAGAAACTTGTACAATTTGCTACACCAATTTTATCAAAACCAAAACCAAAACCAGAACCTAAACCAGAAGATACTCAGACACCACATACTGAATCACAAAATCCAGAAGCACCAGCCAATAATAATGATAATAATAATAATAATAATAATAATAATAATAATAATAATAATAATAATAATAATGCTACTAAAGGAGAACAAACCCCAGAGTCAACAAATCAAGATTCAATTGAAGAGAAAATCGAAGCTGATCAAAGTAGTATGGGTGTTGATTAAATACCATCAATTAAAAATAATGTGTTTATAAAATTTTATTTTATCATTACAATATATTTAAAATAAAGTTTTAAAAACAACAGGACATTTGTATTAAAAAGATTATCTTGGTAGCTTTTTAATTATTAAACATTATTACGATTATAGGTAATATTATTATCTTTTTATTTTATTTTGTAATAATTTGATGAATAAGTAATTTTCTTCACATATGGGGCATACTTCATCAAAACAGACAAGGTCTCGGAAATTTCAGGAATTAACATCACCACCTATAATCGTTGATTGACTTTGCAAAATTATCATTTGTTCTAAATGCACATTTACTATTATTTACACTTATATCTCCTTCCAAACCCGTGCTTACATTTTCTTGGAACCAGCGACAAAACAAAATTAATTAAAAGTGAAGTCATTAAAAATCAATAGCAATATTTTTCCAAAAATAATTTTTTTGGTTGAGCAGTATCAGCATTGATTCAATCTAAAAGCAAGAGAGTAAAGGGTCGGATAATTTTTCAGTCTCATGAGTAGAATTATTTCCAATTGAAACAAATTTCGATACTCCTTGTTAAACAGTTCAGTATTTTGCTTTTCATCAAAAACTGGAAATAAAGCTTCCTCTAAAGCTTAATCTTTTCTTTTAAAGCAGATAATAGGAAATTCTACTGCTTCAATAAGTTCTTTATTGTAGGGTCATTATAAATAAATCCCTTGAATTTTTCTTCAATAAAAATTCCAGATTTTCAGTCAAATTTACTTGTTTACCTACAATATAACCTTGTTACAACGAAATGGCTGGGCATACAAGAAAAAATTCGTTGAAACATGATCACTAAACGCGTTTCAACGAATTTTCACATTTTCATAATGTGTAACAAGATTTTTAAAACAAGAATTTAATTATAATTCGTTGAAACAAGGTTTCAATGTAGTCGATTGAATTTTTGACCAGTAAATAAGCAAACACATGAAAATTCTTTCTAGATGCAGTTGAATAGTCTCGTAAGTTCCTTGCCATATTTTTTTACCATTCTTCTGCTACACTTTTATGTTTTTTAACTATTTTTTCTTGTTGATATTTACTGCTATTCTATTCATGGTCTTTGCTTCCTTTTTTCGTTTTGTTGATTCTTCCTCAATGGATCTATTTTCAATACAAATCCTTTGAAAATTCAAGTCATTAATAAAGTCAAGCTAATCCCAAAGTATGCAAAAAGCAAATGATGTCAATTTGACTTGAAACTTTTCCAGAAGGCAAATTATTCTTTTCTATTCATTTTTGTTTATCGCCTAATTCTTGCTTGTTGGTTTGTTTGGCATAAATATGTTCCTCAATTATTTAAAGCTTGTAATAATTTGCGTATACACTCAAGTATTTTTGCGTTTCGTCTCATTTTTTCTTCTCTCAGAACTTCAAGAATGTGCATAATAATAACGTGTTGTATTAATAAATATTACAATGAATATTATAAATTTGCAATCTTTGAAATTCAAACTCGTTTTTTTTTCTAAATAAAATGATTTAAATATTATTCTTTTTTGTTGTCAGCTATAATAAAAATATCTTCGATTTCCATCGTTAATAGGACAAGTAATGTATAAAACTTAATGTATAGACATAAAGATTGTTGATATTAATATGTAGTAATCTTTAACATTTTTTACTATACTATACACACTTGGATTTATACATTATTTGTTTTTCTATATTACCATTGTTAATTTTTATATTAATTGTTTCTTCAAGCACATGATTTTAGATATTCGAAAATTCCATGTTTTCAAGCATTCGAATGTTCATAATGCTTTCGAATATTTGAGATTCTTTCAAGTTTCGAGAATATCTGAATCATGTAAATATTTCGATTTAATCGATCAGTATTATGCTTTATATTTTTTACAATCATTAAAAAATTTAGAAATGAAAAGTTGAATCACTTGCTCAATCTCAAGAAGAAAAACTTGATGAGAACAATATTAGATGATAAATAAAAATTTGTATTTTATTTCCCACTTTTGATACTTGGCAAAGGGCTTAGAAACTTGATTTATTACCAAGCAAGATTGTCAATTTGTACAATATCTACTATATATTTAAAGAAACCTTTATTTTTGTAAGTAGATAAAAACATTTCAAATCTTTTGCATACATTATATGTATTTAACAATGAATTATGATTGCTTTTTAAAAAATTAGACCTCGACTGTTACATAAGATAACACTTTCAATAACAGTTTCTCTCTATAATGGTTTTCTTTGTTGAATCAGAAGATAATCGTATAGTTTTCCGCCAAAATTCATCCGCCAATTGAATTCCCGTAAGAATATTCGACATCCGCCAAAAATAAGTATCCGAAATTAATATTCATATTTATTTATTTATTTATCAACAATTTGACTGATTAAAGAAGCATAGAAATCATTTTTGTTGGATAGAATCAGTGAATAAATTATTTTAATTTATTAATTGAATATTAATTTCGAATATTTTAATTTCGGCGGATGTCGAATATACTCACGGGAATTCAAATTGGCGAATGAATTTTGGCGGAAAACTACACAATAGAAAGACATGTTAACACAACTTTCCACTGAATGTGACTGGATAGAAGATCTTGTGAGAAAATTACAAGTGGTTGGGATTCTTCAAGGAGCTAGCAGGGTTCAAGTTATTACAATGAACTACTGTAAAGTCTGGAAAGACAGCACCCCTACTTTAAAACAATTGAGCATCAATATAAAAAAAATGCTACATATATGTAAAAAGGGGATGCTATCTCTCCAGACTTTATGGTATTCAAAGGGATATATTTTCCATGTTCAACATAGAAAGGTCCATGAAGTTTTTGGACATTTAACTAAATCTGCCCCACTTGCTTTAGTTTTAAAGGAAATACTTGTATTATCATACAAACATTGGACATAATAAATAAGAAGAATGATGTTAATGTTGAGAGTTTTCTTGATGATGATGATGAACAAGATGGATATTGCACACCTCCAACTATTAAAGCACCTCCAACATTCACAACTCTGAATACAGTACATACTAAAGATATGATTAATAAAAAAGGAATATTGTATTGTATTAATTAATATGTGATGTTTCCTTTGTTTTCATTGGCAAAGATATATATTTTTTGCATTTATTTTTAAAAAAACAAGATTTTAAAGAATGAAAAAAAGTTTGATGCCCTATAAAAAATTTTTTTACGGAAAGTCCTACAAAATGCAAGGAAATTTGCATTTTTCCTTACATTCTATAATTTTTTTCATGTACGGAAAAATGCAAATTTCCTTGCATTTTGTAGGACTTTCCTTACACGTCCCGCAGTTCCTTACATTTTGTAGGACTTTCCGTAAAAAATTTTTTATAGGGTGACATCTTCAACTGCAGCCTACAACCATATATCAAACAATGACAATGACAACATCCATAGCAAGCAGCAACAGTAGTAGTCATGGCAAGGCATGAATATCAATATTAATGACAGCATCAACCAACAATTATTGTAATAGTAGTAGTAATAATGGTAAAAAAGACAGTTAAATATTATTATAAACGTAGCAGAGTTGGTCACATACCTAATGATACTATGCCTGATAATACTAAAATCACAAAAGTTAGTATACTATAAAAAAATGAATCTAAAGGAAAGATCCCACTATATACATATGTGGACACACCACTCATTTTTAATGCCTCAATATTAGAGATGGATATAGGAGTCCAGGTATACCACTTGGTGAACATTCAAAGCATCAGCAAATTCATGTATAAGCATGGTCATTATAGCCATGACTGTTCAAATGATAAGGTGTGGCTATCGTATAAAAATGGCTTCAGACTATATTTTTAAGCAGCAGTAATTATCATAAAGTATATATTGCTATTATTAATATATAGTGTAGAAAATAAGAAGTTAATCTATGTTAAATTAATTTTATTCTTGTTTATCTAATTGTGACTCTTCTTTGAATCACTGTGGAAGATATAAATGCTATCTTATTGGAGCTAGTGAATATTTTTTTGGTCGCTCATATAAAAAATATAGAAGTAATAATATACATACATCCAAATACACACTTGCACATATGATACCTTCTCAAAAAGCAATTGATGAAAGATGGTAACAATAATCTGATTTTTTTCATATAAAATTCCGTGTTGATCAAAAATTTTTTATTAGTGAGTGACATTTGACCCCATGTAGATCTGCAATGACCTGCGACTGTTATTGATCTGTGTGACATGTCCTGTGACTGCTATATAGCATATTTTACAAATTTTTTTGTAATAATACTGTATCTTTTATAATAGTCATTTCATAGCAATAAAAATTATAATTCATACAGAATTTCCATATGCAAATTTTCTATAGGGCAGAACCACCCATA